CGGAATTATTTATGTCAGAATGCTTGAAATGGTAACAAAACAGCTCGCGATGTGATCAATGCTGGCACTTGGGAATAGTTTTGGATTGGATGGTAAAGCCATTAAATTCAACTGTAGTACCTACTTTTGCTGGTTGTGGTAATAGAGCTACTCTTGTCGTGATTGTTGGGGTATTGTATTGTCTCAAATAAAATTCATTTCGGTTTGAAAAAGTAGCCTCACTTATCTATGACACGAAATTTTAGGGTCAAAAACTACTCGATTAGATTTTCAAAAAGAGGTATGGCTTTCATTCAAATTACCGCATATTATCCTTCCGTGCGAGGGGGTGAGTGCTACAGGTACAAACTAGCAAGAAAATTGGTTCCCAAGAAACAAAAATCGACAGGCGTTTCTCCAGATTTTTTTTTTTTTAATTCAAAAATAATTTTCAATGCCGTCGTTCCAAGATAAATCGGTAACTTGACTGAGCCATTGAAAGTTAATAGCAACCCCTTAAATGTATCTATTATTGATTATGTTTTTTCAACGGAAAAGTATCCTTTTGGAGATTGAACGACAGAAATATCAGTTCTTCTGTATCTAACCTGAAAAGATAACGGATACATTCCTGGTGTCCAATAAAACAAACAAAATTATCAATGCACAAACATTTTAATATAAACTTAAAAATCGTACAACAATATGAAAAATTATAGACTATAAATATACACATATTTTTTATATACTTATTTTATAACGGGATGGAAAATCCGTTCTCACTATAAATATTGTAATGAATAATATAATAGTTAAGATTTAAACTACGACTTAGTCACAAATATGAATATTTATTTCATAAAGATATTTTTTTTCATTAACAAACTAACACAGATAGTAGTGACATACATACAGAGTATTTAAATAGGCCTAAAGTGGGATTTTTTTTTCGTTGACAATGTCCTTAATTTTATTTATTATTGGTTGGTATACAAACTCTATTTAGTTTAAATTTCATTTATATTTTCATATTGATTGGAAAAAAAATAGGGAGATTGTCAACTAGGTTTTAGATAAAATAAGGTTCGCCCAACTTCGAACAGGATTCTTTCCGTACTTAGACTTATTGAGTAATTTCTCTAGTCTCTACATTTTTCCTACGACAGTATAAAAAGAGCCATCACATTCCTTTGGGCGTCAGTCCCCCTTATTATAAGTTTTTTTTTGGAATAGTTCAACTGGTTTTTGATAAGAAGGTCTTTTAATTAGCTACCTATATTATTGCTTGGCGTATTTAAATCTAAGTCCATCTTTTGCTAGAGCACTGTTTGTAGCAAAGGAAAAAAAAAACAATTAAAATATTCCAATTTAGTCATATCATAATACACGTACAAGAAAGATCTTGGCGGTACAAAATTTCCTATAATCTATCTATGAAATTTACCTGTCTAGCTAAAATACATTTATAAAGAGACACCGATTTCCATAAACTACGAATTATGAATGTCTATTAAAAAGGGATATTTTTTTCAAATTATTATTTACAAGATCTTGGATAAAATGCAAAATTACACGAAGCAAGTATACAAAATAATCTATAATAATTGTAAATATTATTAATAAGAGTTCATGTACATTTTGTAGCCTGCGACTGATTTACCTACTAGATTTTAATATTTCTGACATTAGAACTTTGCACATTTTCTTTAATTTTTTTCAATATTAACAGCAAATTGGTACCTATAATGATGATCCTCAAAAAAAAGTTCGCCCCAATATTGCGAAAATCAATAAATCAGCGGGGTGCGGCAACGCAAAAAATATCAGTTTTTTTTTTCGAAGTGTAGCCTTCTGAAGGGGAAGGCAGTAGCTTTGGAATTAATTTAATTTTGAGTAGAATCAATTTTCGACTTTCGCAAAGCTATAGAGTTGCTTCAACAAAGGGCACTGGCAAAAAAATGTGGCCTGGGGAATTTTTAATCTATAAGCTTACTCTTGTGAGTATTATTTCATAAAGTTAACGCAAAAGATTGGCTCGGAACAAGTTGAACTGCTGAAGTAAACCAACAAATTAATTTATAACATCATTGGGGTATTAAATAAAATCAAAAAGATATAGGTATCAAACTTGAAAGTGCTAATGTTCAAGAATACTAAAAATTCACTTTTGTAAATCAGAGACATATTTTTTAGTCAGGTAACGAGTTCAGTGTGCCTGTTCTTTACTAATTCCTGTCACCAAGGCCGTCTCTTGTATTTTTCTTTTTAATTATACCCTTTCTTACGTCAGTTTCAAATATTACACCAAAAGCAGCTAGAAGAAATATTAGAACAAATTATTAATTTGTGTTTCCACAAATTCTATAAAAGATTTAATTTTGTATTTATTTTTTTGGCACACTTCTTATTGTATCATTCAGCAAGATATTTTTTAAAAAGTTATTACTGCTAATGGTGTAAAAGTACATCAATCAATCTTGATTATTATTATTCATTATTACACTCAGAATGGGTATCAGTTTTCTAAACGCAGCTACTCATAATACAAACTTACCTAAATATGCCTACTCTACTATTTGCACTAATGGTGTAGTGATACGAATGGAGCGTGTTTTATTGGTGCAATAATTGAATCCACATGCTGGATCAAAATTTTGAGTACCTACACCAGATATATTTTCTTTTGTAAAAAGTAGGTATAAGGTAGGTACTCAATATTCTACTTTCATGCTATGTCAAAAATGTAAGTCAATTCAATTTACCTAACTGCTCCTGGCAAAAACCATTTCTCACGTTTAACCAGTTTAACCTAGGTGGAAACCTAACTTTTCCTAATCACTCCTGAGTGACGTAAAGCATTTACCATCACATTGAATCAATAGTTGAAAATAACTATTGACTCACATTTACTTCTGGTTTGTACTCCATTGCAAAGTTCACCATTATATAAGCGTAATATACTATTTTAAGTAGGCATCTATTAAGTGTTTTGTAGGGGCATACCTATACATTAATTAATATCTAATCTAAATTTCAAGTTTTATTTTTTATTTATTAAAAGGTCTCTTGAGACTACTCTAGACTGAATAATTCTTCAATACATCCGATACAATTTTTTTTTAATTTCAATTATTTATGAATTTTCTTTTCCAGTTTCATATTTGGATTTATTAATTCCTAAATCCATCAATTGGTGAATATATTTTCCAATAAAGAACGAAGAGTCCTAAATAGTTTAAATTATTAGAATAGCCTTCTTCGAAATTTTGTACTGAAAAGATTTTATTTATTATTCTGGATTTCCTATAGTCCCTCTGGCGAAGTGTCGAGCAACAAACAAAATAATTATTGTTTTGTGATTCCCATTCATCGAAAACTAAATTTTGATAGAGCGATAGATGGTAAAGAATTGAAAATTTGCTGTTATGCTACACTCTGTTTCTGTTATTGCACAAAGACTTTATTAAATATTCTACAAAAATCGTCTTTGGACTTCTTCGGAAAAGCGTACCTACCTAACTTAGTCATTCATTAAATTTCCCCTACAAGTTTTACAAAAATATATTATTATGTTTGAGAACACATAATCATACTTTTAAGGTACTCCGACTTATTACTAATATAATAATATAACCTTAGATATGCACATTATTAAATTTCCTAATCAGTTTTGTACCTTAAGGTCAAAAACAAGGTGGGCGTAACTTTGCGATGGAGCTACAATGCAGAGCTTGTCATATTTTTTTAAAGCGTTTTTAAGGGTATCAATTTTGATTTTTCGTTGAATATTTTTTTTTGTCCGTGTTTATGGGTATTCCGCATAAATGTTTTGGTGGTCCGCAAAATATGAAGTTTTAGAGTGCCACAAAATCTAGATTATAATAAAAAATACTTTAATACTATTTAAGGCAGTGAAGCAAAATTTGAAATATTTTTCTAGGTGGTGGTAAGAAGAGTCAAAATCAAATGAGAAAATGACATTGATGGTTGACGTGACCCAAAACTTACTGAAACTCACCTCGTTATGTAAAAATGTAATGTGACTGGGAATAATTATGTCATTGGATTTTTCTCATCTGAATCGTGGTCTTATGGGATTTGGAACATTTCTATCTATATTTACCTTTATGCAAAATATCACCAATTTCAAGATTTTCAACATATTATGGCCATTTGTACAAATTTTCCCATGTATTTTGCAACTTTACAATTTCAATAAAGCGTATTTTTTTGGCAACTATTGTTGTAAAGTTTCCATGCAATGCGATAAGATACATCCGGTTATGATTTTCCCAAATATTTGTTGTTGCGTGTTAGCCACAGTTTAGCAATCAGTTGTGGGTAACCAATGATTTATTAACCCATATCTTTTGATAATAATCTATAAATCATTATTTATTCATACTGAGAATCCTACTGTTTAATGGTTATTCAACTACTGGTTACGGTCCATAATTAAATTAAAAGAAGATAATCAACCAGTCTTACTTGATGCTACGTATAAATAGGCCTATCAATTAGGAAGCTATTCAAATTTCCCAGGCTTCATCCTTATAAGATGAACATCCTCCAACCTCTATGACATGACCAGAATAGTTCAATTTTAATTATAATTACCAGAATTATTTCGGAATTTTCGGAGCACAAAAAAGAAAAACTTCTGGGCATTTACATTCGTGCACAAGACTACTAATTCTTGCTCTCATTTAATAGCTTCTGAAATAAAAGTGGTGGAGCTGAAATGCAGAAGATTGACTACAGGGGATTAATCCCTAAGTCGCTGAATGAAGAAGCCGTACTTCACGAATCAACTCATGATAGGGAATAAGCTGTATATACACAGTAATTTTTGGATTTGCAATTATTGATATGACGTCAATCGTAAAGGATTGAGAAACCAGAATTTCAGTCACCCACACAAGAGAAAAAGTATCAAGTAAGTCGATACTGCTATTGTCAAAACCGTAAATGTGACGATTTGCAGAATCAAAAGATTCTTGAGGCTTGTTGGTCGAGTTGGAATGGAAACTAGATCTAGAAATCACGAATCTGATGCCAGTTTCCAGTTTTCTAGAGAAATGTGCAGGTCCAATTGTTGCACACTTGCGATGATCATCAAAGAGGATAGATGCAATGCAACTTTGAAATGCCCAAATGTCTCCTCTCAGCAGGCGAGAGATGCCAGAAGAAAAGATGCAGAATATGTCAAGAAGATAACTAAAGAACCTGACAACCAAGCCGAGAATTTGTCTTACTAGCGTACCGACTGCTGATTTGGTCCAATATCGATTGGACCTTGACGGGTTTTTTGCCGATGAATTGTCGCGGCCAGTAGGATCCAGTAGAGAAGCTCTATCGTTGGAAATCCACAGGAGACTTGACTTAAGATAGACAAACTGTCAATTCTTCTTTCAATTTCAGAGATCATTAGATAACTTCCAGTTCTAAGATGCAGGATAGCTTATATTTGTAGGCAAAAGTATAGACATGTGAGATTCATCACACTTAAGGCGATTATATGAGATGGCTAATTAGAGAGGGTCAGATGAAGTTAAGTATTTAGGGGTCACCCTGGACCGCAAACTTACTTGTAGCAACCATCTAAACAAAACAATATCACGAGCGGCCATTTAGACCTGCTGCAAACTCGTGGAAAAAACATGGGTGATAAGACCAAAAATGGTTATTAGATTTAACAAACTATTTTCACTTATGCCTCGTTGGTATGGTGGAGCCAAAGACTGAGAAAATAACTGCACAGAACATTCTATGTGAAGTACAAAGGCTAATCTGTCTAAAAATAACAGGGGTATGTCAACCTGCCCCACCGCAGTTTTAGAACTACTGCTGACTGCTTCACTTATATGTGGAAAAAGACGCAAGAATAAATGCCTATAGGCTATTCCAGACAAAAAATTTAAACCTGCGGATAATGGTCACTTACGCATTCTTCAATCTATAAAGCTCGAGTGCCAAAGTAAACCAACAGATCATAATTGATAACATCACTGGACTTTGACATTCCATATGAAGTGGTTTTAAAGGAACGCCAATCATGGAAGTACGCAAAGCTACTGCAAACGGACAACGCATCATTATGTTACACAGATAGTTCGAAGCTAACGGAAAGACTCGGTCTGGGAATAACTGGACGAAATTTTAAACTCTCCTTAGCAGCCCAGAGCCTTTTTGTGGACTAATGAAAAGCCACGCCTCCGAAGAAATGAACAGATGGGAAAAGGACCGAGTTCTAGCTCATTGGAGGTCCATTCCGGGTCTGAGATAGACAAAAAGGTTGATATCTATCTCAGCAAAGAGATCTTAATAACTTCATGCGATCGGAAAATGCGTGGAGTTCAACTTGAACAGAAGTTACAAAATAAAGTAACCCTCCTCTGGGTGCCCGGACAGATAGGTGTCGAGGGCAACGAATGCGCCGATAGACTCGCGGAAACGGGAGCGTCTACTCCCTTCACTGGGCCAGAACCATTTTACGGTGTCGAAAATGCGCACCCCAAAGAAATTCTCAAAAAAGAAGAGAACCGGTTAAGGAACAATCAATGGCTAGAACAGCCTGGACTACGACAGGCCAAAGACCTATTGGGCAATTTCAACCAAAAAAGATCAGAACTGCTGGTCAACCTTAGCAAGGAAGGTCTCAAGACTCTAACCGGGTTTCTCTCGGGACATTGCAGACTTGAGGGGCACCTACAGAAGTTGGGGTTAGAAGCAGGTGTGATACGCAGATTCTGTGAAGACGTAGAAGAGACACCTCACCATCTTCTACTAAACTGCGATGCCGTTAGTCGCTCAAGGATGAAGAACTTGGGAAGTGCCCTTATACAGTTGGAAAACATTCCAGCCCTGGAACCGCTAGATATCCTAAAATTCTTAAAGGTTTCAGGACTGGAAGGGCTGCTTTGAGCAGGAAACCCGAACTTAGCAGCGGAAGGACGGGTACAATAGATCAACCTTGGTCGCGGTGCAACTGACACCTCCAACACACACATACAATAGGCAAATCAGACCACTGCAGACCTTGCGAACAAGCAACATAAACTGCAGAACATTTAATCTGTGAATGGCCTGCTCACTTCTAAAAAGGATGAAATACCTTGAAGGGGTACGACTAGCACACCCCAAGAGGTGGACACTTTACCACCCAGGAAGCTGGCCTACAAATCTTGGACACCAACTAGAAGCAGAGTCACGCAGCGGCTGGAACAAGCTGTAACGACTCCTTATGCAATCTACAATTCACAAGTAGAAAGAGTATTTAACCACTACGGCCTCGGAGTCTTCATGGTTCAATCAATCGTCTATTTGAGAAGGTTGACTTCCACCAGAATTTAGCACCATTGACAGGTTTATTAACTATGTCGATGTCCTTTGGGAACTACCTTGTTCTTCTAGAGCAAAATGTATGGTATTGAAAAAATTTGAAACTGTATCGATCCGACTGATGTGTTCAGCACTTTGAGAATTTGAGACAGGATCCACCTTTCGTGTTTGAGTTCATAGCAAACATTTGTCATGTGCAATACACTACAGTTTAATTGTCGCTGTAAGCAGGTGTTATAGGCGACAAAGCGAAAATGTTCGGTATTTGGTCACCACAGGCAACAAAATACTATCATACATAACTATTTCATCACATCAGGTATCTAGGTAAATATAGATAGGCGTTCCATCAGAGTGGACCAAACATTTTGAAAGTTGGTTTTATTTAGAGAAAACAAGGAAAAATAGAAAAAATAAAGAATATATTCTATGGCACCCTAAAACTGACCCATAAAAAGCCTCTCTATGCAAAATAATAGCAAATCGTTATATAGAGCGGTACTAAACAGCATCGTATCAGGTACGCAGACGAAAAACCAAGTGCAAAAATAAAAACTAATAGTTTCATAACAAAATATATATTCAAGTCAACAATTACAAGTAAAAAATAAACGTTCAGTGAAAAAGTAACAAAAAAGCAAGCAGTAAAAAAAAGCATATTCTTAAAAACCCAGAAAAAACTAAGCATAATCTAGGTCCCAATCGGGTTCGTTTTACTAACATGCAATACTGGAGCAAGGAACGTTCCACTACAAATTAGCGTTATAGTTTATTGTGAAACGACCTTTTTCAAAAAGCCACGTTCATAGCATATAATAGCGTACCGACGACATCATTTTGCGTATATAAAAAAGTTAAAAAAAAAATATCACAATCTTAAAACAGATCATTTTATTGCATTGATATGGAAGAGAACTAAGATTTTCCGTTCCAGTTCTTGCCATATTTGAGAGAAATGCATGAACTTGGCTTCTTTTTCTGTCTTTGTTTTATTCCTTCGTTACTTCCGATAATTTTACACAATTTTTAGGTGTATCATACACAACCTTGTGCAAATATTGTTAAAAAGTAAAGAAGAATCCAATAGTTCTTAGCGTTCTTTTTTTTTTTGTAACGATATCGTGATATGCCAACTCACTAATTGGATATAACATGTAGAATAAACGATCTTTTTTTTTAATGGGACTAGACTTTAGCTTGAGCTTCTCATACAAAAATAAAAAATTCATTCAATATAAAAAATTTAGGAAACACTCTACATCTATAATTTGAATACTGTAAACACCATATATAAAGTAAGAAACATCTATAAATGTCTATAACTACTACGATTTATAAAAATCTAAAAAGTATCAAGCATCTTCAAGGGATCTTATTATTTTATAAGGGTAATAGTTTTATGAATTATTACTAATATTTTGGCGCGCGATTCTACTGTCTTTTCTCGAGATATAAAAGCATCGTGATGTTCTAGTTTTCAGTTTGCTTCTCGTATAAAAAATAACCTACATTTAAAAATCAATATTAAGACACCCAACAGTTATATATAATTCAATGATTTTGTTTCAAACTCGTGCACATGCAATATTTTATCTATGAACCATCAATTGTAATTTAGTGATGTTCTGTTGGGCATAGTTAATATTAAAATATTACACTAAAAAGTTATGTGTAGACCTTCATAAGTGAAATTTTTAAGAAAAATATATGTCTCTCAGTTAGTACTGACTGGTTGGTGAGAATACTATATTTTCGCTACAAAAATATTTATTATGTTATGTATAAATAATATAAGCTACGATATTTACAAATTATTTTTAACATTAGAGAGATCACTGTTCCAAGAGAACTGGAACTTTTTTTTTTCTAAAAAAGAAAACTTATACTACGTATATTTACAATTCATCATTTTTGATTACAAAAATTAATTTTATGAAGCAAATATAAAAGTAGGAACTTTTCAACTAAAGATACTCAAAGAAAAAATTGGGTGTTTGTGATTTCTATTTCGGTTATTTAGAAGGTGGTATTTGAATATTATTTATATCCGTTGGTATTGTTGAAGATTCCGGGGAATTCAGAATGCATATTGGTAATTTATAGACGTTTTTCGATGAATTTTGAAAACAAAAATGTTTCTATGGTCAAATTTGTTAATGCGTTTAGAGAACTTTCAACAAAACTATAACCGATGCACATCTTGAACTTACGAGGAACAAAATAATCAATAAATGGTACTTTGTGGAACTACTTTAAAATGTAATGTTCGTTGCGACCGAATTTGGGAAATATGTCAACAGAGATTGCTTTATTTGTTGTTACGTTTGTATTTTATTTCTCTCTAAAAACAGTTTATACCAAATTTGAGATAATTCTGATGTAAGAATCTTTTTTTTTTCCTATTTATCTTTGTGATGTATTTAACCGTGTAGTCTATATTTTCATATTTCATACACCAAATGGCATAGTATCGAAAGTGATTATAATAATCATATTCCTAATCCTATTTTGATTTTGAAGGAAAAATTTGCACTTCCGTGACAACCTGCAACATAGCCAGTTTATTCGCTTATGACGAGCATCGGTTCAAGTTTTGTATGAACAATGAGTCTCATTTTTATGTGATGTATATTTATAGAATAAAAAAAAAAACACCGAAATGTAAATATAGCAAAACTACATTCCAAATGATTTAAACAAAGAAAACATCTAATGTTACCATTACATTCTGGCTGTAAGATCTACCAGGGTTAGTTATCTTGCATTATGAAAGACATTTTCCATCGACGTGCGTTAGCCTACCAACGCAGAAAGAGACAATAGAATCGCTAGGGTCAGATGAGGTACCCTTCCATCTAAGATCCTCCGCCTATGAGGACCCTCAGTTGGCCACCAAAAGGTGTTGATAATTGCCAGTGGTGGCGTAAGTCCAGTTATTTTCCAGCATGTCCTTATTGTTTTGTGCCGGATTGGGAGCATTGGGGGGCATGTTCATGCCGCCATTGTTGGGATAAAATGGACTGAATTGGGAGTTATCGAAGGGGAAATTTAAATTGTTCTTGCCCGGGTACAAGTCGGGACTAAGAAACTGATTGGAAGACTCGAACATCGAACGCGGAGGGAATTGTGGAGGATAGTGACCGTGCGGTGGGAAGTAGTAAGCTGAAGGGTCAGGAGATAGGGCGCGACTTCCTGGAGAATGGTGAGGAGGTTGCTGGTGGAGTTGTTGTTGCATAGCGCGCTGCTTGATGTAGTTGGAGAATTCAGTGGGGGACATCCTAAAACAAAAATGAATGTGATTTATAAAATTTAAAAAAAAAAATGCATTAAATAAACCTCAGTTCATTTCATTTACTTTCAAATGCCAATTAATGAACGCTGCGCCTGAATGCTTCATTAACATCCGCCTTTAATTAATTTTTAGTAAAGTCCTGTAAATCTTCTCAGCTTTTCTTTGATACAAAATGATATTTTTGGAATTATGTATTTCTTTTCAATGAAACACTACCTAAATACTACTTGTAGCAAAATTAACTAGAAGCGTGATAAAACTTGACCTAATTGTATAATTAAGTGTAGTTCACCCCTTAGGAAAAGTATGGCATTTGCTAATTATTTTCTTACTTAGAAGCCTTCAATTAATATTAGAAGCTATCCTAATGCCTCGCGACAATTTTCCGCATCAACGAAAAAGAATTCAAGATTCTCATAGAAATAATTGATTATATCATCACACAAGTCAAAAATTCTTACCTGTTAGCTCTTTTGCTGCTAGTCTTCAGCTTGGTACTACCAAACTTCGTCTGAGCAAATGTCGCCGTAGTAAAGGTAAGCGGAGTAGTGGTGCGGGGTATGAAAGCTGGCACCGGCGATGGTGAGCCTTTGAAAGAATTGCCCATCGAGGTGGGGGACGGCGCAGATGAGTTTGTGGCTAAAAGGGGATTGTTTGGAATCACCTGAAAGAAAAATAGTTCATTGAAATATTGGGAATTTATCAAAAAAAAAGGTAACTATCAACATAAATAACTACAAGGTGCTAAAAAATAGTGAGTAAATTCGATAACACTACTGTATTTTAGTTAGAATAATGAACTAGCTAAGTCGTATACTTGAGTCTTAAACGTCTTTTGCTGAATTTCATAGTATTTTGGTGCGAAGTAGGCAATCCAACAACCTCATGTCAAAAATGGCGCCTGGTCGGCGACGAGTTCGGAAATTGCATCGAAGTTCCGGCAGATTTTTTTTACAGGTGACTTCAAATTGATTTTATATAATTTAAAAACGTGACAACTATCAATTTTTTCATCTATAGTGGAGTTCGGTTAATCTGCAGCTAGCAAAAAGATGACGGGCCCACGTGAGCAGTTTTAAAACTTCCTCCGAATGAAAGATCACGCTGGCTTCTGCCAACATTGTCATCCACTTTAGCTATTTCCTGAAGTCGGCCCCTGTATACAAAAAGGCAATCTGGGACTCTTCTGACATGGTTGACATGTAACTCAAGAAAAAATAATACGGCATCTGGATTGCAATGTCTTGTTGTTTGGATTCTCCAATAAAAAAATACAGGTTCTCTTTCTAACTAGAGATGTAAACAGAGACAAGATTATATGAGTCTGGCTAAACAAATCACATACAGACAGGACCAGGTTATTAGACACATAGGCTACAATGGAACCAGTTGACCTATACCCATTTTACTGCAGGATCGTCATGGTGGATCGTGCATCTTCGTTACTGCACTGCCTCGATTCGCCTGAACCGGGTACTAGCTAATTCGTCTTATCACTCCCTATATGTCTAGAAGGTTCCTTCGGTGTGTACACGATCTCGCATTATTTTACATTTTTACATAATAAAATTGTATTTTCTGAAAACCGGGCTTATCACTTTCAGAATCCAGAATGTTTTTGTGCAAAGTTAGAATTTTTCCTTTCAACACTTGGTAGTTGGAGTTTGCACCATGCCGCTCTTGTTACGACTCGCAGTATTTTTGACTGTTATCTGGGACTGGTACTTTCACTTTCGATTAACCAATTTTATACTCTGTTAAATCAATCAGGATTTTAAATGAGCCAGAGTCTGAAGGACCTACTATGCCACAATGATGATTCGCTAGACACAAAATCCATGAAGCAATTTTTCTCGTATTATATAAATGATATGTACCTGGTTGCAATTAGGTTGCACAATCTGCCCCTGAATCTGAGGGGGAGCTTGATTGATGTTTCCATTTGGAACCCCATTGAATGGTGTCAACGACTTGCTGGGAGATAAGCTGAGGTTGCTTAGGCTGCAACTCACAGAGTCGATCGGCCTGAAGCACTGAGCCTCCGGGTTGAAGGTTTTTGTTACCTCCCTGGAAAAAAAATTGTATAAATAATTGTTTTATTAAGTTATTGTCAAAATCTTTTTACCTGTCAGCAGAATGATCATCCTGTGGATCAGCCTTTTCGCTGAACAAAATTTTCACAGCACCTTTCTCGCCAATCCTGTAGCTGACCTCGCCGGGATCGACCCAAACGGCTAATTCTTGGGGAAGATTTTCCAGGATATCCTGGATTGGAACGCCACTTTCTCTAGCAGCTCTTTCAAGGACCTTGTCAATGGGATCTCCGGTCTTCAAGCATCTAAACGCTGAGCCTTTGAATGGTTTGTCTGGATACCAGTGACCCTAGAGCAATTGTAATTAAAATTTGGAACTTTTCAACAGCGAGAAAATCTTACCTGGAATTTGTCTTTTAAAGCTTTTTCCAACTCCTCCCCAAAAATGTTGACGCGCCTTCTGGGAAGTTTGTTGTACAGGTACGATATCACGAAATTCAAAGCTACTTGTACTTCTATATGCATCTTCGCGATTCTTTTCGTCTGTCTTCTATTTTAACAAAACCTCGAATGTAGGAAGGTGTAAGTGATTAATTAAACATTGAGTTTCTTGCGTCGAGATTGAGTTAGTTTTCCTTTTCTTCGTTTCTATCGTTCTAAGTTGATTTTTTTTCTATTTTTTTTTCCAAAATTAAGGTACGTGATCTGTAACAAGAGAAAATAAGAATTAGATAATTATATGCGAAGAGATTTGAGTTTGTAAGTAGCAAATACTAAAAATAAATTTTATGCAAGGAATAAATTAGGAAATAGAAAGTATATGACCAACAAAATAACTTACTTTAAATATATTGAAAGTTATATCTTTGACGGAAGCATTAAATTGTTAGAGACTTCACGGTATTGTATTGTGCGTTCGAAACTATTGTATTGATCACGGTTACGGTAATATTGCGACTAAAATTCACACAATAAGATACGTGACTGACAATAATTTGTTCACATCCTGGTGATTACATTAAACGCCACTAACGTCATATCTTTGTTAATTGGATAGATAATTTTTATCGGCAAAAGCGAGCATTTTACATGTAAAACTGCCACGATCAGGTGATGTGTGATGAAGAACGATATACTGATATTACATTGAAGCTCAAAAATACGATTGTTATTTTTAATAAATTACGTTTTAAATAATTTTGGCAAAAATAAAGATAACATTCACTTGCGTTTTCAAGAAAACAAATATTGTTCTCGAACTTTTCGCTGATTTTTTTTTTGAATTAAACTAGTTGAATGGGAACTTATCATTTTTAGATAAATTATAACAGTTGAATAAATTGGTTGTAGTGAATGAGAAATTGCAACAAATTTGACAAATTATCTAAAACTGTTCTCAAGATAAATTATCGTGAATTTGTCATTTCTCCCAATACAATCAGGTTACCAAAAATTTCTTAAAACTTGAAGCCAACATGGCTGATATTATTTATTCAACCGCAAATCAACGACATTCCGATAACACCGCCCTAAATTTCAATGTCTACGATTTTATTAACTAACGTTTGGATGATAATTTTTTAATGAATTTATCAGAAGCTCCATACAGCAAAGCATTCCTAATTTAATGAGCAAGTAAATATCAGTTCCTGCGATTACATTCAATTATTATGCAAATGAATTATGTAACATGGATATCACGATAGGTATGTTTAGTTTTGATGAAGGTTTGATTGCAACCGAACTAATTATCAAATGACACTCAAAATTGAAATTTGAAAAAATATCATTTTGTTGACCTGATTCCACAGCAAAATTTGAGAAACGGCAGAAAGTAAAAATTCGGCCAGAACATCCGATGTTGCAAAGTTTACATAGATCACTAAAAGCAGATCTACATATTTTTCTGGAACAGTTTTGGATGGGTATACAAGTTTTATTAGAGTTTGTGAACCGAGTATTAAATTAATGCAAATCAAACTGTTGTTTTAAAAAATCAACCAAAAATACAAATCGTTGTGCTTCAGCATGTTTTTGTAAGTAATATTTTCTGAAATACAAGGAGATTAGAGATTCTCAGTTTACACCAAGGCTCCAATATTCCTGATGTGTTAGTTATCATTTATAGTATACATTATTCAATTCATTTCCCATCAACTTTGCCGAATATACACTATTTTATCGATATAACATGCAATATTTAACACCTTATGTAAAATAACTCATTTTTATCAACGTTCACCGTTAAGCTCGCAATTTAGCATAAAAATTGGTTCCATTATAACGGGGGTCACTAACCACATTTGTAGATACATAATAAAAAAAAGGATTTCGAATGATGTTATCTTGTAAATTTGTAATTCTAAAAACGAAAAAGCAAAAATATAAAAATTAATAAAAGATGAATGGTTTCAACAAAACGAAATCCACTAATAGCATTCTAAATTCCAACCCTACAAAAGTTTGACTCCAATACATCATTCCTCTATCTCCACATTAGCCAAACAAACAGATTTTTCATCCCCGTCCCCGTTTCCCCGACATTTCGGTCCATTTTCCAGCCTCTGGCTGTGATAATTCCCGATATCTTCCCGTTGGAAAGATTCGGGCACGGCCAGACGAGTCTTGCGTACTACGCTGGAGTGGATCAATAAACGGCACGCAAGAGGAGTCAAAGTCGAAACTGGGTCACACCCAAATATCCCGCTTGACACACATTTTTCCAACAATAGCTCTGGAGTAGACAGTGTGGCGATAGTCTGGATGTTCTGGATTTTAAGCACACAGCAGCGGGGCTGCCAGCTGGTGCTTTTAATTACTAGAGTGTACTCGAGAAACCATTAGGGACCCCGTGAGATAATTATGGCTATCTTTAGACGTTCTTCAGGCATTGTACTGGTTTTGCTTTAGTGATGAAAATGTTATCTGATGACTTTGATGATGAATAATGGAAAAAATTGAGGGATGAATTGAAGAATCGTATAAAATTCTTGGGCATTTTGCGAAATTAGAACCCCTCGGAGCAATATATAGAAAGTATATATCAATATATAAGTCCAATTTTATTGGGTTCGAAAACATTCCACAAGCAAAATGAATGCCAATAATAAAAATAAATCAATCAACTCTAAAAACGCACACGCAAAATGCATCATCCATGATGCACTCAGATAAATATTCAAATTAGGTACATACAAATATGTTAGCGTTTTATTCATTATTATGCAAGTTTCTGAGAATCCAGTGGAAAACAATAATTATTAATCGAATAAATGAAAACGAGGCGACAAAAAACACACCTAAAAACTGGAAATTTCCCAAGAAAATTGATATGCTTTCTTCTTTTAAATGTCCAATTATACGTTTTGCTAATTGGCGGTTAATTTGTTTATCAAAGGCTGGAAGTGGTCACGTTTTACATATCATTTCGATTAAGTAGTGATTCTATTTTATTTCAATATAGTGATTTTTCAAGTTCTGGTGAAATATGAGTTGCTTTTCCAATGCTATTACAAACTAATGAATAATTAATTTTGAAATCTCTATGGTTTGAAATTCTGTACATTTAAAAAAACTGAGACGGTATACTATATAGGATGACCTACTTATATTGTCATAACTGAAAAAAAAACAAGAAAAATATTACAGAAATAGATTTCAAGCAATATCAGAATAAAATTTTAATGACGATTTGTGTCTACTGGCAAAGCTAAAAGTGGACACGTAATCTTTTTGGACGGTATATAGTAGGAAATGCCAAATCGAAAAACCGTCATTCACGAATATTTTATTTTGCTTGTAGGGCACATCGTCGTCAATTTTCTCCCCACTTGATAAAGTTTATCCACTCACCAATTATTGGCCGTAGAAAATAAACGCCTTATGAATGACTTCTCCATGTATGGGGGAAAACCAGGTCAATGATTACAGTAATTTGATTTATAATATCCCGGATACTAATTAATCCCTGTACAGAGTACTTAAACACATACTCGAGAGAACAATGGAAGCTTGGATGAGAACAAAATGCCCGGCTCTGTATTTCTAGACGTACAACTGTTTGATAAAAATTGGCATATAAATCACATCCACAAAACGCAGATACGTAATTATTAACAATCCTTCAATGCTAGTCAAAAACGAAGTTGAATACATGAAAAGTCAATATCGACGCTACTAAAGCACAGTTAATATTAACAGGCCGATTGCCAAAAAATCCCAACCCTCAATGGAAAACTAACACGAACCACTATATACTAGGACATTTCGGAAGTCTAGTAATGGAGTTTCAATATCCAAAACCAAAAAAATGCTTCTTGGTTCGTATCCAATCCGACCCTGATTGGCAATCATCCGAGCTATACATACATTATCTCGAGACAGATGATCTGAGTATAACTGATTCGTTACACCAGCCAAATCAGGATGTCTCTCTTAATCTATGAGAAGCACAGTATGTAACCAATTTCTGCGTTCGGTATTAACGCCTGATCATTTTTTGATTCGTTTATTGCATCTATATGTAATGGAGACAAATCTACACCGTTTGCCAATTATGCTCAGACCAGTCGGACGTAAATCTGTTTGCCCGGAGTATTTAGACCGACGAGAGAGATTAATCTGCGATTGTGAGGTTATGTCGTAGTCTCGGAAACGAAAAACAGCAAGCAAAAAAAAATCGTAAAACTAAAGCGCCGGTAAAAGCGAGGTTAGTAGTTTCTTTGGTTCGTTAATTGCAGTTTGCTCAGACTAATCTGTGATTACGTGACCAAAAATTTGTCGCGTCTGCGATGTAAATACCGAAATCAGCTACTGTGTATTGCCCATATTGACATATGGCTGTCAAACTTGCACATTTACAGAAACTAATGTCGACATGTCAAACTCAAAGAGAAATGGAGGAAAATGGTGAGCATAGGAATCACCTTAAAAAAAAGAAATTTTTAAATGAGACCGATGACCAAGTGAGGGAACGTAGTAGCGTCAGAAATAATCCATCTAAAATGTTGTTTCGTAGGACACTCTATAAGACAGAATTACTAAGATAGGACTAGGAATATTAATATATGGGAGAACGCTGGGACCCATTGGCCAAGCTCAAAATATGTATATGATGCATTCAATAAATTCATTAATCAGTCAGCCTATAGATAAATTGAAAATATATATTTAAGATTATTAAGGGCTCTGCAACAAAGTACATAGCGCTCTACTTAATAGTGTCTGCTAAAATAGATTAGCCCATCGCGTTGGGAATTAGATCCGGAAGTGCAAAATCCAGATATTGAATAAGGAAGGATTTCAGACGTGAATCGAGTTTTAAGTGACCTACTGAAGTGGAATAGTTCATTTCAGAGAAAAGCGTCCATTCTGCCGCAATTTAAATTGAGAGATATCTTGCAGGATTTAGAAAATCCGAAAGTTCAAATTGCAATTCTTGTCTTGGAAAAAAAATATATTTTAAAAGCTACTTCAGGAAGTTTCTGGTATATTTTTACTACCCCTGGGAAATAAGAGAAAAAAGGCCATCTGCGGAATGAGGCCGAACAAACTGAATTTTTGCAGAGACCTTCGTTTTGATGTTCTTATGAAGCACCAAAAAATCTCATATGCCTACCCTTGTGCGTCAGATCATAAAAATTGGTTTTTCGCGAAAATCTCGCTTCCAGTCCATCTGACGTCCAAGAACTCACAACAAAACTTAC